ATATATATATATATATAAACAAAAATTAAAAAAATAAACACAAAAATTAACTATTACTTACTACATGTACTACTGTTCCTACTTCATGGTTTTTCACTTATCACGGGGCTTCAGGATAAGGACCCCCCATGATAAACGAGGGACTACTGTATTTTGAGATGGCAACAATCCACTTTGGTGGGAGAGTGGTGGCGCAGAGGCTAGAGAAGGTGGGCCTATGATTGGAAGGTCGCCAGTTCAATCTCCAGAACCAACAATATCAAAGTGTGGGTGGTGGTGAAGCACACTCACCTGCCTCCACCCTCATCTGCCCCATCCTGGGCCCCTGAACAAGACCCTCAACCCCCACCATCTGCTCCCCTGGATGCTCTAGATTGAGACCATTCGCTGTCCTGTGTCTTTCTGCACCTCCCACTGTTGTGCTCCTATGTACACCTGACCCTAATCCTAATCTCTGCAGGTGTTTCCCACTCGTCTCATTAGCGTCTAGTATTTAATCTGTGTGTTTTCACTCCCCTGGTGTCCGGGCATTATCCGGTTCACGGCGTCATGGTCTGTGTCTGCTCTGCGTTTTCCTCTCTGTCTGCTTCAAGTAAGTTTCACTGCCCCAGCAGCACTTTTGTTTTGTTTTTGTTTAATAATAATCATTGTTAATAATTATTCATTTTTACCTTTGAGTCCTTCTGCCTTCCTGTACGTGGGTTCAAACATTTACAAACAGTTCAAGTCACAGACAGCATCTCTCTGCTCCACACAGAGGGCTGTGGTAGCTTGGTGGTCTGTGGTTGCATCAGGAAGGGCCTAAAAATAATTGCCAGGTCTTCGTGTGAGTTACTTTGCTGTGGCGACCCCTGAAGAAGGGAACAGCCAATAGAAGGAAAAAATAAAAATCCACTTTGGTCTCAGCTGTACTTGTTTTAGCAAGTAGCACCCAGATTAGCTTGTCATTCTGGTTAAAATCTTTTTTTCCCAGTTTGGGGTCATTCAAACAGCTACTGTGCCTACAACATTTATAATTACCATATTATTTGGACTATAAGGCACAATTAAAACCCTTTAATTTTCTCAAAAATCAACAATAAGCCTTATAATCCGGTATAACTTTATAATCCGGTTTAACTTTATAATCCGGTGCACATTATGTATTAATTCTGGTTGCGCTGACTGACCTTGAACCAATTTTATGTGGTACACAGCGCTCAAAAATCTGTCAAAATGTTTCAGTTTTGCTTAATGCGCCTTATCCGGTATAATATAATATAATCCGGTGCACTCTATAGTCCGAAAAATACGGTAGTCGTAAAGCAAATATGAGCTTTCCCTTTAAAGAATGTCGGCGACCGACAAAAATCATGTAAATGTGACTGTAAAGGCTTTTCCTTGAGTGACAAGAGAAACAATTACACGCTAATCCGACAGGCACTTTTATTAAGGAGGTGAACAGCCAGACTTATTTCATTCTTCCATGGCAGAACAGAAGCAAACGGTGCAGGAAATGACACACGGAGAGACGCTGATGAAGCTGTTCAGCGGGGGCACTTTCCCATGAAACATTTACATGATCATTCTGGGACTATCACAGCTCGAGCTGCCAGTCCTGCAGCGCCATGTCTGTCTGTCATCGTCATTATCCGCAGAGGCACTTGGCCACATGACGCGTCTCACATCCAACCGCGAACACAGTTTGTTCTTCCAACTGAAATGCAAATAATGGAGGGGGGGCTGTGTCAAAGTCGGCTTTAAGATCTGAAAAATGATTGCTCATATCACTGATTTCAATGCTCTTGTCTGGAGGGACAACTTTTTAGAGACCGCTCCAAGGCTTTAACGCCCCATACCCATGCACACTGTCCTCAGTCCACTCCTCACATGCTTGTCTTCTTTGGGACTGACCTTGGAATGTGTTAAGACCTTTTATTCAGGCTCCATTTTGGCCCAGCTAGTTGTAATGAATCCTTTGTTTCTATTGTCTGGAGCTGTAATTAAGCACCTGAAAGCACTCGGAATTTACATCAGCTGCCAGCTTTCAATCCGTGTCCTTTTATTCTCATTAAATTATGCAAATGAATACTCTCCTTTTTTTGTCCTGTTTATGAGTTGTCCTGGAAAAGAAAATTGATTTTGGTCTGCTTGATCAGTGTTTGATTGAAGTGCAAAGTTTTGAAGGGAAAAAATAACGGAGGTGTTTGTGCGTCAACAAAAAACTTTGGAGGAAGTTCCATCCATCCATTATCTTTTACCTGCTTCTTCCATTTTAGGTCACGGGGGTCGCTGGTGCCAATGTCCAGCAATCACAGTGCGCGTGGCGGGGCTGGACAGGTCTCCAGTCCATCACAGGGACACATAGAGACAAACGAGACAAACAACCATTCACTCTCTCACTCACACCTAGAGACAATTTAGAGTTACCAATCAGTCTAACATGCATGTTTTTGGTCTGTGGGAGGAAACTGGAGTACCCGGAGAAAACCCTCACATGCACGGAGAGAACATGCAAACTCCACCCAGAAAGGCCCCCGGATCGGGATTTGAACCGGGGACCTGCTCGCTGAGCGGCAGCAGCTCTACCAGTTGTGCCACTGTGCTGCCCGGAGGAAGTTCCACAATTGTTTTTTAGCTTTAACTATTTTTGAAGGGATGTTAAACCATTTAGAACTTTAGGGAAGAAAAGATTATTCTTGTTAAAGCAGATTAAACAGCACTTGTTCAGGGAGTTGAAGGTCGCTCAGTTGAACTTTTGTTTTTTTTACTAGTGTGAATGTTTATGAAGCATTCACAAGATTGTGATCCATTTTTCTTCCGTACATTTTTTGGTGTGTTTCTTTTCCCGCAGTTTTAAAACTATTTCAACAAATCATATATTAAAGCATTCCGCTCTTTCAGGACAATCCTGTCATGACTTTTGGTATTGATGCAACTTTAGCTTTTTGAAATATTTAACCTTTTCTGCCATTTTTTTCCTCATAGAAAATGAATTGAGCTCATTTTACATCCTTCAAATCTTTAGATCTATTTACATCCTTTTACTGCTCCTTTCACATTTTGTTCTGGTTCAGCTTCCTTGTGTAAGTTCAAACTTTTTTTCAGCTACATTCAGCTGATTTTCCAGGTGTTTCGAGCTCCTTTCAGATTCTTTCTGCTTTTGTGCTTCTTCTAACTTCTTTCTGCTAATTTCAGCTTGTTGTGCTCCTTTCAGCTTATTTCTGCTAGTTTCAAATTTTTTTTTGCTATTTCAGCTTTTTTCTAGCTTGTTATGCTAATTTTACCCTTTTCAGCTGAATCCACATTTTTTCCACTCATTTCAACTTTTTTCAGCCTAATTCAGCAAAAATGTGCTCTCTCCACTTCCATCTGGTAATTTAAGCTTCTTTTTGCCTTTTTTAGCTGCTTTTCAGTTGTTTTTTTGTTGCTAGTTTCAGCTTCATTCATAAAATTTTCACTTTTTATGCTCATTTCTGCTTCTTTCAGCCTAATTAGGCAAACTTGAGTTCTTTCTGCTTTCTTATGCTAATTTAAGCTTGTTCTACCTTTTCTGCTACGCTTTTAGCTTTTTTTTTTAGCTAATTTCAGTTGCTTTCAGATACGTGTTTCATGGTAATTTTTGCTACTTTCAACCTAATTAACTTTTTTATGGTAATTTCAGCTTGTTATGCTCCTTTCAGCTTTTGTCTGTTAGTTTCAGCTTTTTATGTTATTTCAGCTACTATTTAGCTGTTTTATGCTAATTTTAG